GGTTTTTGGCTCCAGCACTGGCTGATACTGGATGACTCAAAATGCATGGAATTCTGCAGCTTTGTGCACTTCTAATAGCTGTTAACAGTGAAAATTTTTTTCAAATTCTTCCAAAAGTTTAATTTTATTTCTGACTTAAGACTTTCAATCTTGAGCTGCAGATTAGAGGAGTTTAACAATAAAGTAATTCTTATTGGAAAACACTGATTTGTGAGAACTAAATTTTTTGGCCAGTAGTAAATAAAGATCATTCTTCTAGTATCATACATACCCAGTCTGTACTTATCTAGGTCTGCAAAAATTAAATGTGCTGTAGCCAGAAACTCTAGCAAGCCAGAACATGTTCATGTTCTAGTTTGTCACTGAATGAGCTAAGGTTTATGTAACTCCTGAAACTTTCTTGCCATACTTCAGCATTGTTTACGGGATCATCAGCTATGGGACACTTCTGCTTGCAAACTTTTCTGAGGCTGTTGATCGTGAGGTTTCTTAACACCGACTCATAACAGATAATGCTTTGGGAGTTTCTGAAAGACCTTGTGTCTCTAGACCCAAGGCAGATCAAATAGAAAGAGTTGACGTTGGCAGTTTTATTATGGAGATCTGGATAACTGCTGACTAAACATGGCTGTTTCAGTTGGCAGCCAGGGAGGACATTAGAAAGCACAGTTGCCGTAGCTCATAGTTTGCTAACTAAGTATTGTCAGATTTCAAGTGCTGGAGCATTTGACATTTCATATTGTCATTCTTATTGCTCTAATGTCTTCAATTAATTTGAAAATTACCAGTAAATAAACTTGATTTCCTAACCAATAATTATACTGATCATTACTTTTTCTATGTGGCATCTGTGGGAGTTGAGGCTTGAGTGTAGCGTTTTGTTTGTTTGCGTCCTTTATCTTCCAAGACAAGTCTACAGTAGAAACTTGCTTTGACTTTTGTTTATCAGGGAATAAGAAGAACTGCTGTGTGAGCAATCTGTGCATACCATGTCCTCATAGTGTGTAGTTACTTCTGCATTTTATCACTGCAGCTGCAAAATAGTGCTTTTGGAGTAAATGTATTTTCTCCTGGTTATTTTAGGAAGACTGGAATTCTGATGCTTAAGGTCAAACTGATAAGTTCCCATGAATCCTCTTGTTTTGTTCTATCATTTTGTTTGTTTGTTTCTGTAAGTCAGACACATTTGAAAATGGTCTCAAGAACTGTCAAGTACACAACTTGGCATAATTAAGGCATACAAGCTACAGCATCAGTCCCAGTTGTGTTCCTCCTCATTTATCTGTTCAGATAGCTGCTTGTATAGGTGTCTTTGTACTAGGTGGAAAGATGCACCTGTACACAGTCCCTCCCTTCAGAAAGCAGAAGTCAGGGGTGACCACAGAAGGGCACAGCAGTGTGTGATGTGTGGCCAGTGATGGCCAGCACACTGCTGGTTGCTCAACCTCCTCCAGGTTGATGTCACCAAGGCCAGCACTCCAGTGCCACTGTGTCAGTGGCAAGGGGATACACAGACAGCATGATGCCATGCAGATAGACAGGTAAGGGGAATGGCAGGCGGACAGGCAATGCTGATGGCAAGGGCTTGACAGAGGTGCTGTGCTTCTTTCAAGACATAGGTGCTTCCAGATTTCATCCCGCATCTCAGTAAACCGGTTTGCAAAGTGGATATAAAGTATGAAAACAAGAAAAGTTTTGCAATGAGGAATCTAATCTAGCTTAATTCAAAGTAACTCACAACTAATGGAGCTACTAGAGGCAGTCCTGTGAATTCTTCCTTCTTGCGGCTTGTAGAAAAAGTCTCTTTAACAGCTTTGCATTAAGTATGTGCAAGGATGGGTTGTGCAAATTGTCATCTATGAAGACAAAGCCCAGTTTTCAATTTCACCGGAAGACAGAATAAAACTTTAGGAAAATAATGTAATGACTCATGCGAGACTAATCACAGTTTAGGCAGGGCTACCCAGCTACCAGTCCCACTACTTAACACACGGTCATGTTACTAAGGAAATTACTGCTCCTTTTCTGATTCTTATTCATAAAAAATGACAAGCATGACACTACTTCCTATGTAATTACAGTGCCTGAAAATTTCCTGAATTATTAGAATCAACCAATAGAGATCATCTTACGTGCTAAGGGATCAGAGTTTTGGGCATGGTTTTAGATGTCTTTTACCTGAACTGTGGAATGTGTGGTTTAGATAGAGAAGCAAGACATTTTCCTGTATGCAATTAGGAAAATAATAGTTTGCACTTCTGTAGCACCTTCCACGTGATAAACTGATAAAGTACTATACAGTCTTCTTTGTGAAAAATATCTTCCACTCTGACGGATGTTACAAAAATGTAAGTATATGTCATGCAGGAAGTAAGTGGGTCAGAATACTAGACCTGAATGTGGAATCCAGGTAACTCCTCTTTCTATGTGCTCACCCTAATGCCATTTTTCTTGCACTGGACATATTAGTGAGGCATTTTGGTGCCCTAAATGAGATCATAGTCTGTTCTTTGGTTCCTTTCCCCTCCCCCTTCTTCTGCTTTCCTCACACAAATTTTGAAGAAAGATTCTGTGTGAAATATCCTATGGGAAATCTCCACAGATTGTTACATGTGGCAGTGAAGTTCTGGAATCTGTCACTGTGCCTGAAACTTTTCTGGTACCTCTCCATTCTCAGTACTTACCGGTTTTTTTCACAAGTGGCAATGACAAAAGCACAGTGCCATCAGCTATTCAAGATTTGCTAGCTTTCCTGGTTCATCAGTAGCTCAAATAACAATGCATTTGGGGAAATACAATTGACAAAAAAATTGACTGAGGTTTTGTTGTGCTTTTAGGCCTTGTTTTATGTGAAATTAGTTTGAATTTAGATCTTTACTTCAAGGCTCTGTTCAATGTCAATAGGATGCTATAATTTTCTGTAATTTTGGGGGAGAAAAATATGTAAGTATAGAAGTCTGTCTGTCAGCCACAAGGTGTCCCGGCACCAGTGAATGGATCTTTTCGAAAACTGTTGTCTTTCACAATTACCTCAACTTTTCTGGTTTGGAAGTTGTTGTAAAAGGTGTGTGGCAATACCAACACTGACAGTGCTTCCCTATTGCTCATGCCTGCCCTCAGGAACCAAAGTGATGTTTCTGTGGGAAGGGGAGCACCAGTCAGAAATGCCACTGTGAGCTTCCTCTACTGTGGTGTATTAGATAAATTTAATTTTCTAATCTTTTGTCTCTTCTTTTTCTACATCTTTGAGTACTCTCTGCTTTTATTTTTTCTCTCTTATTTTATACTAAACTTCATCTTACTTGATCTTTCTTATGCAGAGATTCCACTCATATCTATAAAAATTCAGAGACTTTCCCAAGAATTTTCATCTTCCTTCCGACCTACTTCTGCATCATCCATGGTGGCTAAAGAATCTCATCTTGATGAGCTAAATGTTTCTTAAGCTCTAGCTACACTTCAAAAGAAGGCCCAGTGTTTTTTCTGGGTTTAATTGCTTCATTAAAAAAATAATAATAATTGCTGTGAAATATTTTAGATAGCTCAGATTGCAAAATTCAGTGTTCTGGACAATGCATAAACCCCCAAACTATAAAGAGGTAGATGTCCTAATTCTACCCAGTACCCAGAGATGTCACTGTGGTGAGTCAGTGTGTGGAATTTTAATCCTGCCACTGTCACTATTGGATGTAGTTTAACTTGGTTAGAGTGACAACACCATAGTTTCATTTATTTTTGATGATTGGTTTGATAATACACAGAGGTCCTGGAAGATAAATAATTGGATTCCTTAACTGCATTTTTAATTTAGATAGCTTAGGACCCCAATTTCAGCAACAGCATTGTAGTCAGGCTCTGAAGTAGATACATCAGAAGTAGTTTATTAAAGCTAGTCCTGATAAAAATGGAGAAAGAGAACAAAGGGATTGGACATTAGAGTGAAATGAAAATAGTGCATGAAGAGCATCTCCCAAAACAGAACCACCACACAACTAGTAGGCATCAAATATTTAATGTCAAAATCAATTAGATGTTTGGTTAGGGAGAGAAATATTTGCCTCTGGAAAGCTAATGCCAATAGGATAGCCATGAAAAGGTTTGCAGTGTGTTGGCTTATGAATTCTGATAAGATGGAAAGAACAGTGTTATTGAAATTGGTTTGAACAACTGCAATAACTATGGCAAAACCAGAAAAATGTTGGCCAGGCAGCCTGAAAGACTGAGCCAATGGGAAAGAGATAAATATGGTGTTACAGAAAAAACTGATCTAGACACTGCTTTAAAAGTCAACTGAGTGTGCCTTAATTTGTATTTAAGTGAAAGCCCTTTGGCTGGGTCAGTGGTACAGCTGAAGGTGTGTGAGGTAACTAGTTGAAAACGAAGGTTGTATCTATAACTACCTGATTGTTTTGAAGGTCTGCTTTGTCAAAGGAGCGTAACTGGCCATCTGTTCTGTCAGTAGCTCTCGATCCTGTACAGCTGTTTGACCCTTTGGTACAGAAAATGCATTTTATCTCACCAACCTGTTGCACAGACAACTCCACGGGACCTGGTGGGACGAGGGGGAAATCTGCTAATGTAAGTAAATAGTGTGTGTAAAGTACACAGCAATAGTCTCCGAATTATTCGTGAACAGGGCGGATTTAGAAAACTGTTAAATTCTGCTGTAGTGCTAATTTGAGAGGCGAAATTGTGGAAGTCAAGTTCTTAAATCCATGGAAAAGGGCAGCGAGAGGTCATTGCACGCCAGCCGCTGGTGTGCCGGGGGCTCGGCGAGACCCAGCCTGAGCTGGCGGAGGGTGGGGCCGGAGCCGTGACTGCGGGCCCGGGTGGCTGCGCAGCGCCCGCGGCCGCCGGCGCCGCCTCCCCGCTCCAGGTGAGCGGCGCCCGGGAGGCTGCACACGGGAGAGGCGCCGAACCAGCTCTGGACTGATCCGGCCCAGGCGAGCGAGCGATAAGGCGCTCTCAGAAGGCTCCGGTTGAGTCATCCTTACTTAAGTTATCGCGAACTGCGCTTCTTTAGGGCAGGCTGGAGCTGGTGTACGTGCCAGCTCTGCCGCGGCACGGCCAGACCTTGGGCTCTCCCGAGGACGTCCCGGTTCATTTACTGGAAGCGCTCAGGACCGCTGGTGTTCCGGGTCCGGCCTCCGGCCACCCATTCCTGCCGCCCGGCTGCCGCTCCCCCGAGGGACCCGGGCGGGATTCGCTGCCCGGGAGATCGCTTCGCCGGGACAAAACCTCCAACTGATCCACAGAAAGCCCGGAAAGAAACAGCAGTGATCAGACCCGGTAACTGCGGGGACAGCGTTGCTCTCTCGGGCTGAGAATGAGGAGTTGGTGTTGTATGTGAGTGTGTGCGAGCGTCCCTCTGTCCCCACACCGCTGTCGGGGCAGGGATGGGCAGCAGGGCGAGCCCTGCCCCTGCCCGCGGGCTCTGGAAGTGCCGGAGCTGGGACAGTGACTACTGAGACGTTTGATCCACTGCCTAGGTTCAGTGGGAATGGATTCCACAGAAATCTATTAGACACTCTTTTAAGTATAGAACACTGGTGTGTACTCGAGATACTTCACAGAGTAGAAAGAAAAGAAAAGAAACAAGAAACGCTGTGTCCTTTTTTTTTTTTTTTGTTAGATAAAGAGGAGCATATATAAAAGCACTTCTTTCTGTCTGAGTTTGTAATTTCCATAAGTTGGTTGTTAGTTCGAAATAATGCTGAAAACGTCTTTTAAATGCTTCATTTTCAGTTAGAGTGGGTTGTTGTTTTTGGGGTTTTTTTCAGTAACATTGTGGGAACAGGGCAGCAGGCAAAATAGTAAATGACTTCCTATGCCAGAGAGGGAACAAAAGCTTGTATGTTGAAGCATTAGCTAAAAAATGCTTAGATTTGACTGTAACCTTGGTAAAGTTCTCTGTTTCTGCCAGCAAAACGGGGAGGGAATGTTTATTTCAAGTCAAGGCTTCATACTGTTCAGATTACTAGAATAACTGATTGGGCACTTAAATTTCAGAAATTAGGCAGAATGAGAAGATCTTCACTTCTTATTGAATCCTCTTCAATGATTACTTTTTCATGGCATCTTTTGTAGGTATCAAGGCATTCTACATGTGAAAACTCACAAAGAGAAGTGTGGGGTTTATCTGCTTCTCTCATCTTGGAAAAAAAAAAAAAAAGGACATTTCAAAGATAACTTATCCTGGACTGTGTGTTTTCTATTGTGTGAGAACAGTAGTTAAAAATAACATTTCATATAGGTTGTCAGATTACAGTGCAAAGATGTTTGGGGATGGGGGTGGAAATTGCATGACATATATAAGGAGAGAGAAGGAAAGCATGAACATTGTGATAGCACTTCAAGACCCTTTGGAATCACTGACCTGACTAATCTTGTGGGGAGTTTTTGATGTTTGACAGACTCATGTTTTTTTCTGATAGTAGCTTAACGCCTTTGAACTACTGCATATGCTTTCTCAGTCTGTGTCTCTGTATCATAACAAGCTGTAGGTTCTTGAACCTTACTATTCTTCTCAAAGTCCTGTGACATGTTTGCTATAGCAGCTACTGCATCAACTTATTTTTTTAAAAACAAAAGTAGAAAACAGAGGTTGTAGAAGGCTGCTTCTAAACCATTTTGGGGAGCAAGAATCCTCTCTTTCTGGTTACCCTAATGAAGAAGACTACATTGCTTCTAGGGAGATAGTAAACATGAAATCCACCTTGAATTTATAATGGCTGCAGTTTTAACTGTATTTCTTCCTATGATATGTTAACTTTGGTGCTTTTCAGACATGCTTTTTCTGTTTCTCTAACTTATTCTCTTACTACACACACACCCACCAAAAAAAGGTAAATCTGAGAAATCGATCTGTCTTTTTGTTCTGAACTGGACTTTCTTCACCATTCAGGTCAATCACTTTAATTATTTTCTGTGTGCATCTGCAAAGTGCATGCAAATGTGCCAAGTAACTTAGAAGGGATAAGGGAGTAATGTGTCTCCCACTCATAATTTATTGTTGCTGATTTTGAGAGAGGGTAGGTGGGAGGAATTTGTGAGGAGATTTGATATGGTGAAAGTAAGTACAGTTTTCACAAAAGTTGACTAGATCTTTTAAAGATGTGAGAACATAAAGCAGTTGTTCTTCAGCCGAATGTATTAAACCATGTTTGAGCCCTCTTAGTTTCATGGCATATATCATGGTAAAGGCATGGTAATACTTTGAGGGAAGTGCTGCCGTAACACCAGGTATAGACTGCAGGGCATTTGATCTAACAGGGAGAGTCACCCAGATTGCAGATCAATAAGACTGAGAGAAACGTGGATCCTTTCATGTCCAAAACTGGTTTAGATACAACTCAGAGTGTTAAGAGTCTGATTTGGAACTCTGAAATTGCTTTTCTCTTTCCCTTGATCAGGTGTCCATCAGCATGAGCATATGCAGCTTTGGGCTGTTTGTTATGCCATTCATGCATCTCTGAGGCCAAACTGGAGATTTCCCTTTCCCTCACTTCCCTTCTTCCAAAATATTGAAACGATAAAGTAGAAGCCATTGCCACTAGTTGCGTTACATTGTGATATGGAAGGGGCACTTACTCCTGTACCTGTGTCTGTTTGAATGAACCATCAGAACACTTCTTCAGACTGTGTGAACATCAGAAAGTTTTCACGAAGATGAGCTGAGCCAGAAAGTTTGGATTTGCCTCCCAAAGCCAAGGGGCCGTGAGCAGAAGTATATATTTAGTATGTTGTTTTAGGGAGGTGAAAGTTGTTTCATTGTTCATATGGCTCATTTTTGTTTTAAGCAGTGATGTGAAGAGATGCACAACCCATCAGATTAGAACTTCATGCACGTTTGGTCTTGCCCACCAGATACATATATTATTCTGTGTCCAGTCTCCTACTGTTATTCTAAATGCCATGTTGATTTTAGAGACCTCTTTGTTTGTATTTGCTCGCTCTCATTCGTAGCAAAAAATTAGAACATGTCAGAAGTTACCTGGAAACCTTTCATGCCCTCCACTTCTCTAAATTCACAGTCGGATTCCTGACAATTCTGTTCCCATATATTTTTTCCAAGTTACAGACTGAAGAAAGAAAAATACCGCTTAGTATATAAATACAAATTCACTTCACGTTGTTAACATTATATTGGCATGAGTCCATCTTGTTTGCACCTATTTGTGTGTTTTCCAAAATGCTCTGTTTTGTTAGGTGCTGTTTTGACAAATAGGAATGTGTACAATTAAATTTCAGCTCCTTTTGACCTATCATTCTGTTACAATTTCTACCATTTCCATTGTTGATGTTCAAAGCACGCTGTTTCTAAGGGAGTAACGTTTTCAGGGTTTCTATATCTAGAAAAGTCAAACATTCTTTGAATCATATACTGAAGTATTTGAGACATTCCAGAGTCTTCAGCTGAAGAGGCTCCTTCTTTGCAGTGTTTATGTTCAGTACAAGAAAAACATATGGATAGTCTGGCAGGACTTTTGTTACTGACCTGATTGTTGTAGTTCTTTGTTTACATTTATGAAGAATATATAGTGCAGCAGCAGATAGGCAATCAGATAAATTTGTGGGTAGAAGTTAGCAGACCTGTTGTTCGCAGGTTCTGGGCTTTCTTGGTTTTCGTTTGATTGGGGTTTTTTTGGTTTTTTGGAGAGGTTTTGCAGGGAGGATAATTAGAAGTATTATCAAAGTTTCTGCACACATAATTGTGGCTAAGTGTCTTGCAAGTTCTTGAATGTACGTATTTTTGTACTAACTTTGGAATTCCAACTTGATTCCTTAAAACAAAACTCCGATGTGCCTTTGAGGATTGGATACTGAATTTGTAAGTCAAGTGATGGTACTTAGAGTACTTCTTAAAAGAAGCAATGATTAGGACAACTCTGAGAGTTTGGTTTTCATTCTTAAGGGCTTCTTAGAAATGGAGGTTAAATGGAAAATACAGTACAGCAGGGGTCATTGTTTATTTTTTGAAAACTCTCAGACTGTTGAATTGGAAACTTACTGGATTGCCATTACAATTACCTTATAATTTGGTTAGTGGAGGGAATTCTCACCTTTCTTTGTGGATCCTCAAACATGAAGTAGTCAACAATTTAATGTCATAGTAAGCATAATCTGGACTCATCTGGTATCAACTATTAAACAAAAGCTTTGGTTGGTTATTATTTATAACTGTTTAGATTTGATACTCACTTGCTTGTAATGTCACATGTTCCATTTCAGCATAGCAGTGGGAACCTTGCAGGACAGGCTAAGGAAAATCTCACTGGATAACCTGCGCTGAAGTAGTTGGAATTCAGAGGTTTGGAGGTTGGTTTTTTATAAACCAATAAGAAAATACAATAAGTAAGTACAGAATCTCAGCAGCCCCTGAAAGGTGAACAACAACATGTTTATGCAATATAAACAAGGTAGCTTCCAGTTTTTCAGACTCCATAAACGGTGTTTGACAAAAAGCTGAGTTTCCAAACGATCGTGTGAATTCTAAGAAGCCTTTCTTCCCCCCCGTTGGAGGTAATTTTTAGCATTCTGTTCTAATAACAAAGCTGAATTTACAAACTCTGTCAGTTTGCTTTAGCTATAGGAGGTTGTAGCTTTGTGGTAAGCATTTGCATTTTAGATCTTCCTATCTGTGGACCATTTGTTTTGTTTATAACAATTGTAATGCAAAACTGACTTTATAGAAAGTATTGTGACAATAATTGTGATATTTTTAATACTAACCAGCAGAAACTGTGTCTTTCAACCACATAATAAATGGAGAGATGATTAATATTTCATATTAAGGGCAATGTGCTAACTTATGGCAGAATTCTTGTCAGAGAATTCTTGTCAAATCCCTGGGATTTTGAATTCTATTTGGATCCACATAACTAAAAATGTCAGTTCTTATTAATGCCTCAACTCTTTTCTATTCTTTTGAACAAGAAACCTGACCCACGTCAAAGAGATTCTCCCTGGGCAGAAGTGCTATTTCCAGAGACTTTTCTACTATAGTACATAGTACCTGTGCTCTGACAGAGGCTTGGCAAATTGAAGAGTAAAAAAAAAAAAAAAAAAAAAAAAGAAATCAAGATGTTATTTATCATCTATAATTACTGAGTATTTATTGTAGAATTTTCAATAAGGAAGACGTAGGAAGGGATTTGTGGTTGAAGTCTGAAAACCTTATCCAGCCTGTGAATCTTTGCAGCTGACAGGAAAAAGCAGAATTTTTTCATAATTTGAGATCAACTTTAGTGTTACCGTAAAACTAAGCCAGTTATGATAACCTCTGAGTAGAAGTAACAGTAGCTTCAGAGCAGAAACACTTTGATAGTAGCTGTGATATTGAGGCTGGAGAAGGGAGCAGGACTATAGAGGCACCTCTGTTTTCCTTGCAACCCCTGTGCATTCCCCAAAACAGGAGGAATTCTAGTGCAGCTGTAAGCAGCTGACTTGCAGGCTGCTGGGCCTTTGGGGTGCTAGTCTTATTTTTTATCATGAAACTTGACCAAGGCCAGAACAGATTCCCCCTGTCTGTAACTGTTATTTCCAAAAGTACTTCAGGTTTCTGATTTCATATCAATCTCTGCTGCTCCTGTGGCATTTCCAGTTTTTGTGGGAAGCACCCAGTTGACTAACACCTAGATTAAATAATGTAGGACTGGTTGTCCTTTGGATCTGGTGGCATGTTCAGTAGAGTGGCTTGTGCAGGCAGCCTGTCTTCTGTAATACAACACTATAAACTGAGCACAAGGCAGCATTTTTTTAGGAACAGAACAGCAATCTGTTAATGTGCCTGAAGTGTTTGTTTCACAAAGCTTTTTGCTCACGATAACACAAAAACCTGTACTGTAGGGCAGACTGTAATTGATTGTACAAGAGACTGACAGCTCTGTGAATCTGTAATGTCAACAACTATTTGAGCCAGCAGGCTGGACATGCTGAAGAAGAGAATTTCAGTAATCTACTCCTGCCCTTATCTCTTGAGCAGAGCCGTTTAGTTTACAGCCTGTTAGAAATGTGTGACCAGTTATCTGCTAGATTTATTACTCGAGCAAGACTCCTCGGCAACAGTTTTTCCTCACAGTGTGCCAGCTACTGGGTTTAGAAACATATTCTTCCAAACCAAGCTGTAGTGTCCTTTATTTTTAACAAAACCTTCTTAAAACTTTGATTTTTGTCAGTGATTCAGAGTTGATGTCTGCATCTTCAGAGGATGTGAAGGAGCAAAAAAGAGGAACTCTGTGGATAAAAATGGAGAATTGTTCGTGGCCTGTTCTTGTATGGGTGTCCAGACTGGTGGGGTTTTGTTGTGACTTTTCACGTGTGTGAAAGTTATATATGGGTGTGCTTGGTGTGCAGCTGGGAGCAATGTGACTGAATACAGGCTACATCTTGAGGTATCTGACTGCCTCAAGGCAAAGCAGAAGTTCAGTTTCAGATACCTTTGCTAGTTGTGCTACTTAGCTTTGTTAAAGGGAGGGTTTTGATGATTGATACATTATAAGAAATCTTGGTTTTGTTTTTCCAGAACCAAAAATGATAGCTGCAGGGAAATTTTCAAGTCTTCCCAGAAATGGCCCAGTGAACCGCCAGTTCTCATTAGCTTCTTCCATGGACCTTCTGACCACTAAACCTTCACCAACTGAGCATCGCTCAAACTCCTTTCAAGGCATCTCTATCCATGGCACTCTCCCCAGGAAGAAGAAGGGGACAATTCCCCCTAGGTCTTGTGATATGTTTAGCCACGTGGGAACACTGCCTTACACCAGAACACACCGGCAGCTGCCACCTTTTGTACAGGATGTTATAGAAGAGTACCCTCCAGAAAGTGAGAAGAGCAGCAAACTCAATAGCAGGTATGTTGTAAAACCTTAATTTACATATGTTAGTTGCATAGGAATTCTTATGTATTCTTCTACACCTCTGAATGTCCAGTTACAGGTACAGCTGTTTATTCTTGTGTTCTAGGTTGAGCTAGTACTCAGTGTAGGTCTTGATGGAAGACCTAAATAATTTTTAAGGACTAGGTCTTGCGTCTGAATGTTTAAAAGGTATAATATTGTGTGTGCTATTCCCATACAGGAAATTTTTACAATCTAGAAGTCATTTAATTGCTTTGATATGACACTTTGCATTGTTCTAACTGAGCAGTTTTAAGCAAGAAGTCATAAGTGTTCAAACTTGGGTTTGGTTTGTATTCAATGCTTATGTGACTGGAGGGCAGAGGAAAGAGAGAGCAGTGTTCCAGCTGCCTCCGTCCTAGAGCTACATGTGAGCTGTTTTGCGTGAAGACTTAGTGGAACCCAGTGTACACTGAGCTAATGGCAAATTATCCCTGCTTATTATTCCTACCTGACTTCATGGTTATCATATCCATGACTCTCAAGAAAGACCTATAATCTTATAGCTACCATTTCTTTTGGGAATCTGTCATCATCACTGATATTTCATTGCTTACCAAAAGTAATTAATCTTGTAAATTTGTTTGGTTTGATATTGAGGTCTATAAAACAGGAAAAAATTTCCAGCTAACACAAGAAAAATTCAGTGTAATGCAGTGAATCAGTTAAAGGCACAAAGATGAGAGAATGTTTGGTTGTTTGGCTGATGGTTTTAAAGCTTGAGAAAAGGTATCCAAATTACAAGTTCTAAATTAGGATTTATAGTCTCGCTGTGTTCATCACTGTACAATTTTTTTGTTTTCAAGTCTTGTTAGGGAAGGACAGTTCTAATTAGATGAAGTTGTGTGTGTAGATTGGTTTTCTTTTGATTTTTTACTTGTGGTATATGGGATCAAGCTTTCTTCTCACTTGAAGGTAAGTCTGTTCTCTATACCCCATTCATTTTAAGAGAAGAAAGGACTCAAGTATGTTTAGTATTCCTCTGTCACTGATCTCTGAGATGTACCTGCATACATGAACTGGCTTTTTGACATCATTTGCTTCTTTGATTTACGTACTTTTAGAGTATGCAAGCAACCTGGGGTGCTGCCATGAAAAGAATGTGGTGAAATACAATGAAGTTTTATCTTATGTTTTCCTTCTCAAGAGCGATCACTAAAGATGATTTGCAAGAGGTTTTCTTTTATTGAGAGACCAAAGCCAACTGGTAACTTGTCTTATGAATATGATAACCTTGTCTTATGAAGAACACTTCGGCACAACCAGTAAGAGTAAGAACAGAATGCTTGAGAGGAAAATGTTGGGAAGGTCTGCCTGATCAGAATTAAAACATAATGCTTTTGAAGTAATAAGAGATTCAAAGGATGTTGTTAGTACAGCCTGGGAATAGAATTTGTATGTATTGAGTCATAGCAGCAAGTGCTGTTCATGTTTGGTCTTTCAGTTACTTAGCTAAAGCAGACATCGAATGCTATGGTAAAAACTTTTAACAATTGCTTGCTTTAATTTTTACAATGGATCTTTATATGTTCTGCTCCATGACCTGACTGCCCAGTTGTATTAGAGCAGAAGATACTTCCAGCTTGACCATCAGCAAATATATCACTTCTTGAGTCTTCTTGCAATGACACTGAACTTTTCGTTAGTGTACTTTAAAAGAAAACTGAGAGAGAAACTGTTTTCCTGTGGTACACGTTTGGTTGTATGTGCTAAGGTATATATTCTCATGCTTACACTCACATTGACGTTATCTGGGCCTCGTAGTATGGGGGAGTCTATGTTACCTTATCAGAGTTTTTTAAAAAAAGCCCTATAATATTTTTATTTCAGTGTAGGAGCTCGTGAAATAGTGTAATATTACATGGATATTCTCATTCAAGATTGTATCAGTCTTTCATTGCTATAATGCTGTTTACAAAAACTAAAACTGTGAATGCACATTTTCATGAAACCTTTTCATGATGCATTGTTCAACCCAAGTGCTGTGTTTGATGCCAGTGCACCAGAACTAATAGTCATTAGAATTGCAGTGTTCATGTACACGTGGATCTGATTATTTTGAACTGTGGCTCAGGCATGCCATTGGTTGATTATATTTGTTTTAAAAAACATAACTGTGATAACATTTTCAATAATTCAAAATGAGTAATACTCTCTTTAATATATAAATATACTAAACATAATTTTGTGAAGCAAATAATAAGCCTAAGTAAGAAGAATAGGAAAACAATAATGAACTGTGCCATTCCCTAATGGAATTCTTCTGATTTTGAAATTCTTCCGAAAACTTGGAGAAATTCTATTGCCAATTTTCAATGCAATAAGGTTGTGTTCTCTTCTTGGTTTGGGAATGTACACCTCTGCTAGTTAGTTCAAGGGGAAAAAAGTTTTCTTTCTTGAGAAAGAAAGACTGACTGAACTCTGAGTTTTAGAGTCTCTTAGAAATAATTAAATGGCTAAAATCAGAAGCAACTGAGCTCTTGAGTTAGTTTTATGAGCTAAAATAAGAATTAAAATAAAAACTTTCAAGAAGTTCTTCACTTACAAAAGAGAATTCTCATTTTAGCTTGTAAAACTAAAGCTACTTCAGTATAATGTTCTTTGTTATCTGATATTGATAATTAAACCCAAATAAAGCATAATTATAATTTCCCTTTGGAAAATTACATGGACACATGGTCCATGGGTTATCTTTATTTATTTAGCTTTGCCTTATATTGTGGTACCTTTATTTAAAAGAAAATTGTTCAAATTTACATCTGTCACTAGAGCCTGTAGGGGTTTTTTTTTCCCTGTGTCTTATGACTGCCATTAGGAAACCCAGAATTTCCACTGCACTTGGATGACTATAGTTCTTCATGACTGACATTGCAGTTTAACTGACTTGTGGCATTTTCACTCTTTTTCATTAGTGCAGCCAAATATCCCTCAAATAAATAAGACGTAAAAGCAATGCAGAGCTATCACTATCACAGGAAGTTTGAGTGTACTGATGAAGGCAACTGTCAAAGGCCAGTTTGACATTCTGAACCATTTCAGTTGGATGTCAACAGTATCCCTGTAGCCTTGGGTTAACATAGAAGTTATCTCTCTTGGTCTGGTACTGGCTCTGATATGAACATACTTAAATGTTACCTCATTGTAGAGATGCGAGGAATTTCTGAGGGGTCGTTAAGAAAATGGAATAGAACAAAGACTTTTGCAAATATCCCAAAGCAAACTAGATTCTGGTATTGATCCTGTGCTCTCTGTTTCATGAGGCAGTGTGATTGCAAGAGCTAGCAGAACAAGTAAATGCTTCTTGGATGATCTGACAGCTATGGTATTCTCTGTTCCTGAACTTTCTAATAAAACAATGTAAAGAACAATTTCATAAAAACTAAGTCTGGTTCCAAAAGACATGCAAGGCTTATGTTTTGTTTGAATTCAATAGGGCTGCACATATACTATCCACTATAGAATCATAGAATCGTTAAGGTTGGAAAAGACCTTTAAGATCATCAAGTCCAACTGTCAACTCAGCACCACCACCATGTTCAGCATTAAACCATGTCCTCAGGTGCCATATCCAAAGGTTTTTTGAACACTTTCAGGGATGCTTGACTGCTGAAAGTGTGTTTATGAGAAATTTAGCATTTGAAGGAAAGAAAGATTAGTCAATTTGGTCCTTGCCCTGTAGAATGGAGCTTTGGATATTTTGGGAGAAACTATGTGGTTACACATTTGCATTAAATCACTATCTTCCCTCTGCTGAGCCTTCCCCTAGGAAGTGTTGAAGCACACCATCTGCCAGAAATGATCACTTCAAGTTTTCATGCTAATTAAAGCCTTGAAACGAAGTTGACATTAATTTACACTGGCTGTTTCATGTTATACAGGAGGTTTGTGAATATTCCTCATTTAATTCCTGTTTACTGTCTTTCCCGTAGCCATTTCATCTGCTTGTACTTGTAAAGACAGTTTTTTTATTCAAATTCCATTCTTTGTCTGTACAGACATTTGAAAAATGGAGTCACTGATAAACAGTAGGGTTGTATTGTTCAAACTGACTTGGAATCAAACTTTGTGCATTTCTTTAAATAATGTATAATACCCTGAGTGCTTTGTTTTATCACTATTTATGAGAGGTTCTGACCTAGCAGCTGGTCAGAATTAGATTTTTTTCCCCCTGTTTTTAGAGCTTTACTTTTAACTGTGTATGAATTTGAAGTGTGGAGTTCTAACTACAAAGCTATAATTTTAATCTTTTCTTCTGTCTTGATTTTCTGTTTTCAAGCCCAGCAAATTCCTGGCTATGCTGTAAGTCCTGATTGTGATTGTAGTTACAACACTACTTCTGTTTGTATTGATGTGGCCACAAACTACTCGTTTTTGTAGGTAAATGAGGCATAACAGCTTTTTTTTTACTCTACCAAGGTCTCAAGCATGAACTGTTCATATTCCACTTTTTTTTTACATGGTTCAAGCATGTTAAAAAAGGAAAAATCAATCTGGTGGATATGGGGAGGGGTGGAGGAAAGGGTTTTGGTTAGCTTAATTCTTTCATTGAGGAAAGGGGCAGACCAGTAGCTCTGACATCTTCAAATGCTTGTTTAACCCTGTTGCAAAAGATCAAAATGTGACATATCACCTGTAAACTGAAGTGTATTTTATAGTCTGACCCTAAGTATCTACATATAGATGCAAAGAACACAAATTCTGTCTGTTGTTCTGAAAGAATGTCCAACTGCATATTTAACTAGACTTCAGACTCTTACTTTGAGTACTGGTCAACAGACTTTTTTCCTCTTGGTTTCCTATGTCAGTTTTTTTCTCCGTTCTTTCAGATAAAGTGCTATCATCTGACATTGGACTTTGTATTGCTGTAGCAGAGAGTTATTCTGTATGTAGAGTAGATTAGTTTATTTAGTCATTTAGAATGTTCTGTACTCTTCAAAATTTCTAATCTTCAAGGC